TATAGGCAGGTGAGTTTTGTTTTCAGGGTTGGAGCTGAACTCTGCAGGACTGCGGCTCTCTAGGACCGAACTTGCCTACCCCTGACCTAGACAGATGCAACTCTTCACAGGTGTGAAAGACCTTGGTGCATGAATTTCAGAAATAGTATATACTGTATCAATACATTTACAGTTGTGTAAATGTACATATATAATGTATTGCCAACTGCAAGGATGTCTAATTAAAGCAATAGTTTGGTCAAAAATAAAAATTTGCTGCAAATGTACTCACCCTCAGGTCATCCAAGATGTAGATGAGTTTGTTTCTTCGTCAGATTTGAAGAAATGTAGCATTACATCACTTTCTTACCAGTGGATCCTCTGCAGTGAATGGGTGCCGTCAGAATGAGAGTCCAAACAGCTGATAAAAACATCACAATAATCTACAAGTAATCCACACCACTCCAGTCATCAATAAACATCTTGAGAAGCCAAAAGCTGTGTGTTTGTAAGAAACAAATCTATCATTAAGACGTTTTAACTTACTTCTGGCCAAAATTACCAGTCCATAATCCATAATAACGCTTCCTCCAATGAAAAGGTCCATCTTCTGTTGTCCTCTCACATTAAAATACACCAAAATCTTTGTTTAGAACTGTTTTACGGTGCTTGATCTGTGCATATTTCTCTCCTGATTCAGGATGACTTTTTCAATGGAGAAAACAATATTAAGGATTATGACCACATATTTTAGCCAGAAGCGAAATCTAAGAGTTAAAACATCCTAATGATGGATTTGTTTCTTACAAACACACATCTTTTCACTTCACAAGACAATAATTGATGGACTGGAGTGGATTACTTGTGGATTATTGTGATGTTTTTATCAGCTGTTTGGACTCTCATTCTGACGGCACCCATTCACTGCAGATCATCCATTGGTGAACAAGTGATGCAATGCTACATTTCTCCAAGTCTGTTCCCATGAACAAACGATCTCATCTACATCTTGGATGACCTGAGGGGGAGTAAATTTTCAGAAAATTTTTACATTTGAGTGAACTATTCCTTTAATTTACCAGTATCTAAATATTATACCACCTAAGTCACTGTATTATTTTGTATAAAATTATCACTCCAAAACAGTCAGAGCTCTAAGATCATCATATGAGCACACAGTTGTCAGCCGATATATTAATAGACACGATGCACAGACACAGAGAATGTGTCTATTGTTCTCATTGTGCATGTACTATATGTGTTCATAGGTGCATGTATGTGCGGTGGCATGTCCAGCCCACCCTCTATCAACATAAAACATCACATATATAGTCATGTGATCTTGGGACAATTTATACATCATTGGGGATCAGTTTCAAGAGCAAACTGCCTTCTGTAACAAACTGGTGAGTAACCTCATCCTGACCAACCTAAAGACAGGTAAGACCAATATCTGCACATCTCCACCAAAAGCATGATAGGGATTGATTGTTTAATATTGTCAGACTAGTATAATCACTGTAAAAGCTGACAAAATCTTGTGTAATCTGTATATGAAACAGGTCTTAATCTAAGCATGTCATACAGAGAGGACATTGAGTATGAGTAAGTGTCTTTGCGCTTCATTTAAGAGCATTTATATGCATTGCGTAGAACGTAACAAGAGAATAAATGCATGAAGTTTATTCACAGACACGCGTTCAATCATTGACAAGTTTATAGGGATTGCAAAAGTTAAAATAACGTTCCCATCTCGTTTGTTTCTGTCCAGGGAGCAAGAGGGTAAGTTTTCATCTGTTTTGGTTGTCTGTAAATAATAAAGGTCTTAAACTCAAAGCTTTGCCTACTAAGCCAACATTATTTTAAATTAAAAATGCCAAAACACACAAAATACATCCTATAAAAGTAGAAGATATACAACTATTACAATAAGTTATATTTTTCACTTAAATAGTTAATTTAGATTTTTACTAAATTAAAATAATAATTTAGATTACCTGACAAAATACCTTTTTTAATGTAGACAAAAAACTAGCATATTGAAATAGCTAAAAGGATAAATTAAAATAAACAACTTTCATATAGAACATCTGAACTTTTACATCAGCCCATTTCTGCCACATACGAAAAAAATCATGCTTTTTTTGTCATAATTATGAGATTTCTAAAAGATGTTCACACAAACACCCTCTCACATAAAACATTTCACCTTTTATTGGTCATTTCCACCACATAAGAAAAAAATCATACTCTAAATAATAGACAAATCGTCAAAATTCTTACATAAAAGACGAAATTATGAAATTAAAAAGTCATTATTGACATTAAAAGTCATTATGACTTTTGTCATAATTATGACCTTTTTTCTCTTAGTTTCGACTTTTTGTCATTATGTCATTATGATTTGCATGTCATTATTATGATGTTTTTCTACATGGCAGAATTGAGCTTCCATACCTTTTTACACCGATTTTTTGGACATCTATAATTATGGCTGTAAACTAAATCTATGCTATTGTGGGATAAAATG